GTGGCCGGGAGCGGCCACTGCACTCCAGTCTGGGTGACAGAGTGAGACTCCAACTCAAAAAAAAAAAAAAGATAAAATTTTGTATATCAACTTTTCACAGACTAACACACTTTCAATGTTTATCATAAAATTTTTGCAATACCACTTTATATGCAGATATGCCAAAACACAATATCTATTGTTTACACTTAGGGTGTTTCTAATTTTCTGCTATTGTAGGAATATTGAAATGAGCGTACATTTTTCCAGGATTTGAAGTTACCTATATACTGGGCTGCCAGGAATGAAATTACAAGCTTAAATACATGAATGTTTTAAAGGCTTTATTAATATTATCTGTATGCTTTTGTGTGTGTGTGTTTGAATTAGGGTCTCACTCTGTCACTCAGGCTGGAGTGCAGTGGCACAATCACAGCTCACCGCAGCCTCGACCTCCTGGGCTCAGGAAGAGGCCTGGAGTCCTCTCAGGGAGTATGGGCCTGCACCACATCCAACCCTCTTTCCAGGGAATTTGGGATTCCCAGGTGGGTAGGGCTGTGTGACGGCAGCCTTCCCTGAAGCCCCAGACTCTAACCCTGGACCTCCAGCCTGCATCTGTGAAGGCAGTATCAGACCTCCCGGCAATGTCTGCATGGGGGTGGGACCCTGCCCTCACCAAACACCCAGCACCCAGGTTCCCTGGGAGACTGACGCATTTGCAAGACATGGTATTATCTAAGCAGAAATCACCTTGAAAGAAGCGAAGCTAACCCAAGGGCTGCATGAACACACCCAACGAAACACCCTTTCAGTAAAAGGTAAGCAGGGGAGAAGGTCTTTGGGACAGCCTTGGGGACTTAGCTCGGTGGTCTTCAGCCTTGCATCTTAGCAGGTACCATTAAGGGCCTGAATAATCATGGACACAATAAACCATCCCACCGCTCTCTTAGCTGAGGGTATGAGTCCCTTGTCAGGCCACAAACGTCTTTCAAGTACTCCGCCTGGATTCATGTGTGTAATTGAACAGCTCTGTCTATCGTGACTCACTTTACCCTGCAGTACCTGTTAGAACTGGACTTCCCTGTAGGTCCTGACAGGGGATGGAAGAGCTGCTCAGGGGCAGGAGCACCTGCTAATGAGATGAGGGCATCTCTGTGCCCTGGCATTCTGGGTCAGGCCACGTGGCCAGTCTAATGCACTTCTGCCCAGTAGAGAGGGTCCCCAGTCCATGTAGACCCATCAGACACAACCAGGGTCTCTGGGGCCAAGGCCAGAACCTGGAGAGTGGTGCAATGCCTGAGGGGACAAATGCCCCAGCAAGGCTCGGGCAGTAGCTGGGGCTTCCCCAGGTGGCACTGCAGGACTCAGCCGTACGCACCCTAGTGGAGATGAGCATGAGGGGTGTTGAGAAGAGGTGGCCTGAGCTTTCAAGGGAACTGGGGCTGGTATGTGCGCAGTCATGCCTTGTGGCCATGCCATGTACTGGCTGAGTGGCCTCATCCCACTTACTCATGGCCTCAGTTTGCCCCTCTCTGAGATGTGCTGGCCCAACCTTCCCATAGAACTGATGTTTATTTTTTGTTGCCTTATTTTTGTTCCCAATAAACATAGAACTGGATCTTTCTGGTCCTGAAGCTTGAGAAACTTCATTATCTCATCTGAGCTCTCTTCTGAGGCGCTGACTATTGGGCCTCCCAGATAAGTCGGGAGCTGACACCTTCTGGTTGCCGCATCTGGGCAGCAGGCGCCAGGCCCTTATCCAGCCACCCACTGCTGTTGACCAACCCCCCTTCCTTACTCCTCCCTAATTCCTGGCTTCCCTGCTATATACGCCCCTAACTTAAGCAGGTTAGGGAGATGGCTTATCTCCCATCACTTGCAATAAAGCCTCTTCCTGGAAATTCTCATTGGCTCAGGGATGCTTTCTGCATGAGCAAAGGGACCCGGACCTCTGGTGTTTGGCCATAGCTGGATTGGATGGCTGGACGCCCCGAAGTGCCGTAACCCCAGGACTATCCATGTCAGGGTCCAGGGCATCAGACGTCGGGTCCACACTAGGGCAAGAGCTCCCTGCTCAGCTAGGGGGTGGGGAGGTTAAAAAGGAAGGGAGGAAGGACCTCTGGGGACTGGGAAAAGGAGCCAGCACAATTTCTATGAGGACTGTAGGACACTGGGCCTAGGCAGGGTTGGATTACACACTCTGTGTAACACAATAGAAGGACAATTCAGGTATCCGGATGTCAGGGGAAAACTTTGAATTTCATGCATATTTCAGTTCATCCCAATTTCTACAACTATATGCAAGGATTTTGTGCATGAAATAATGAAAATATTTTAACATCACTACATCTCTTAAAATCCTCACGCTACCCCGTAGAGCATGGAGTATGAAGAGGGTTTGACGGCACACATGTGGGTCTTCTTTGAGCTCTGGTCCTGCTTAATGATGGTGGGAGTTTGGGATGGACAGAAGGAAGCTGCCAGGATTCCCTGCCTCTTATGGTCCCCTCACGTGACCCAGTTCAAGAGCTCCTCCCCTCCCGCCAGGGTCTCTGAACCGACCTGGGGAGGAGGGTGCAGAGGGAACGCTGGCGGGGCAAACCTTACCATGAGCACGCCAAAGGACCACCAGTCGGCACTCTGCGTGTGTCCTCGTCGGTTCACCACCTCAGGCGCCATGTACTCAATGGTCCCACAGAAGGAGTACGCCCTCTTGTCGTGGTCGATGGCTTCCTTGCTGAGGCCGAAATCTAAAGGCAAACAGGACACAGCCCTCTCAGTCCCTGGGGCGTGTGCAGGCCTGGTCCCTGCCAAGGGGGTGGTAGGGGGATGGGCTCAGGGCACTTGGATTAATCCCACTCCCCCCAGCCACCTGTTAGTGGCAGTAGAGCCTTGCAGGTAGCAGGCATGACCATGCCCGGGCTGCCTTAAGCCTGGCACATCCCTGAAGCCCAAATCCAGACAGGAGGGATTCGTTTACGGATCTACAGATTCAGCACTGCCTTATCGCAACACCAAGAAAGGGAATTTCTCAGAAACTGACATGAACTCCCTGGAGACCCTTTTCTAGAAGCATGTGGAGGTGGAGCAGGATCTGGAAGGGGAAGGCCAAGAGGTAGGAGCTTCCCCCCACCAAAGAAAAGGACCAAGAAGGAGGATGGGCCACTGGCTGCTGTGGGCTGGGGTGGAGGGAGGGCCCAGTAGGTGAGGCAGGAAGGGGGAGACAGGCAGAGCGTGGCATCAAGGGTGTAGAGAAGTGAAGACAGGCAGGGGAAGAGGGGTGAGGAGGAGTGAGCTGAACGTTGATGGAAGAACAGGTGTCACCAGGTGCCTCAGAGCAAGGAGGGGCTTCTGAAGGAAGCCGCTGAAGAACCGGAAAGAGCCAGAGCAGTTCACTCGGGGTCACAGGTCCATGGAGTGTGGCTGAGTATGGCATGAGGTGGGCCCAGGCAGTGGGTGAAATAATGGTGCCCAGAGACCTTACGTCTTCACCCCAGGGCCTGTGAATGGGTCATCTCACATGGCAGAGGGACTTTGCAGATGTGACTAAGGATTGTGAGGTGGGAGGTGACCCTGGATTTCCAGGGACCCAAGGCCATCACAAGGGTCTTCATGCCAAGGAGGGAGGCAGGGGTGAGCCAAGGAGATCTCTGTGCCCCCACCGGGAGGGCCCAAGCCACAGGGGCGGGTGACTTCTAGAAGCAGCAAAGGGGATGCTTCCCTCCCCCAGAAGGGAGCACAGTGCTGCTGACACCTGGATTCAGCCCCTGGAGACTTATTTCAGCCTCCAGAACTAGAATACGTTGTGTTGTTCAGAGCTACTGAGTTTCTGGCATTGGCTACAGAATCAACAGGGAACTCATACAAATGGGGTGTCCTGTGATCAGAGGGGCTGTGTTCAGTGTGATTGGACTCGACGACTGCCAGGGTTTGAGATATAGATGGGGGGAGGTCAGAGCTGCTATCGTGACAGTTCAGAAATGAGGAAGGCTGCAGGGGACAGCAGCAGGGACCATGGAGGGGAGACTCTGGACATGTGCCCTGAGGCTGGAGCTGTGTGTTGGGCTCTTGAACTAAATGCCCAGGGATGCTGAAGGAGTTCAGATAGGAGAGGAAAGAGGGAGGGGCCACCAGGGAAGCATGAGCAGTTCCAGACATTCTGAGGACCCACGATAAGGTAGTCAGTCCACATCTACGGAAGAGTCCACCAAGTCGGAGACACAGGCGGCATGATTAGAGGGCTTTGGTTTTGAGGCAGTCGCTATGTTTACCAGGGCTGAGGTGAAGTCACTGAGGGAGCCTGTGGCCTTGTACAAACCTGTGATCTTAATATGTCCCTCTTCGTCCAGGAGGATGCTACGAGAGAGGGAAAGAACACAGATGCTTTAGAGAGAGCCCAGCCCACCTGCTGGCATGGAGATCTGGGGGCCTTGGGACAGCTCAGGCAGAGGGGCTGGAGCCACCCACCATCTGTGAGGTGGGCTTTCAGATGTCCACTTCCCTAGCCAAGGCTTCTGCCGGGTCAAGGGTGTTCAGAGTCATGCTTCAGGGAGGCAAGGGGTCCCGTATGTCCTCGTGCCAGGGAATTGATGGTTTCAGACATTCTGAAGTCCCAGGGAAGGTTGGGAACCTTCCAGACTGTTCTGCATGAAGCACAGATGAGGGTCCTGGGCTGCCCTGGCCTGTGGAAGCCTGGAGCCTCTCAGAAGGATTTTTTCTGGACCCAGGAGACCCTCGATGCTCAGAGACCTCCTTCTCCTCCCCCAGACCCTCTCCCGGAGCCCTATCCCTGCTCTCAGGACCAACCCCAGCCTCCAGGGAGTCTGTGCACAAGCTTGGGCCATGGGGTGGAGGCTCTCGTGGGGTTTATCAGGTTCATCCTGTGGTAAGGCCTTGTCCTAGCTAAGCAGCCTCCATGGGTCAGAGTCCCTGCCTTGCTCCCTGCAGAGTCCCATCATGTCACAGGTCTGACATGAGGGGTGGCTTTGCTCCTCCCAGCTTTCCTGCCAGGGGAAGACCCTGCCCCTGGACAGAGAATGGAGGTGGGTCGTGCATGGGGCTGGATGCAGGGACAAACGCTTCTTCCTTGAACTTCAGGCCAGAGTTGGGCTGTAACACTTCCAGGTCCCATGGCCCTCGGCCTTCCCTATTTCTTTTTTTGGCTGTAATTAGGTTCTGCTCTACCAGGTCCTGGGAGGTACTGGCCTACCCCTGAAGAGACCAGGAAGTGGGGTTGGAGAGAAACAAAATGAAAGGGTAAAAAGCCAAAATGGAGTATCTTTAGCCAGAGTGGCAACCACTTTAACACTGCTTGGCTCTGTCATGCCTTTTCAGCAGCTTACTTCAGCCTACCTTATAATCATTAAACAAGAAACAAGAAATCCCAGGCGTAGTTACTGATGATTGCATTGCAACCCCCCAGCATGCTCTGAACTAATTATCCTTTTATCCAAAGTATTTGTCTTCCTGCCATAAAGGGCCAAGCTGGCCTAATCTATTATGATCAGTCCTTCCTGACTGAGGTGACACAGACTATCAACCCATCACCATGTCAACAGTTCCTGTGCTTACTTGCCCCCTTCAAGACAATGTGACACAGACCACCACCCCCATCACCATTGGTGGCCTGCCCCCACTAAAAGGGAAGCTTGAAGAACTTTCAACCTGCAGCCTTCACAGCCAAAAATTCCTGAAGTGCCTGGCCCCATCTCCAATCTTGGAGAGGTGGATCCACCCTTTTTCTTTTATTTTCTTTTCTTTTGAGTTGGAATCTCACTCTGTTGCCCAGACTGGAGTGCAGTGGCACACTCCCAGCCACTGCAACCTCAACCTGCTGGGCTCCTGCAATCCTTCCGCCTCAGCCTTCCAAGTAGCCAGAACTACAGGTGTGCGCTACCACGCC